TGAGTCAAAAATGCTGGTTGTTTTGCCAGTCGTGGATTATGATGCGAAGCGCTCCTTGGCAGCCGCCAATGCAAAGCCAAACCGAAGCCAGTACATCCGACTCAACCACCCCTCAAACCCACAGCCTTGCAACTGCAGCACGTCACCACATTGGACATGTCGTCCAAGCAGCATCTTGGTTCGACGGGCGTTGGCCCACGCGTTACTACTCGACACAGCATGACCAGGCCAGGAACTCCAGCGGCGGTGCTCTACTTCGTCGCACAGCGGCGATGGTACCTGCGTTCGTCCAGCCCACACTGTCCCACACTGGACAGAAGCACTTCAACTACACGCTTCAACTGCACTGTCGCACATTTCCACGGTCTCTTCCGCAGCACGCTGCGCTTTGCCGAATTTGCTCACCAGCGAACGCACGGTCTGGACCTCTGCCGCCACTGTGTGGCCTTGTGCTTGCGACTTTTCCGCACGCTGCAAGCTTTCGATGTGATCGCCGAAACTATCCCACTGTGGGTGCGGAGCACAGCCCGTATCTGTACGCTTGTGCACGCGCTGGCACTCAACCGAGTGCATGCGGCGAACACTCACGCGCAACCGCGTCATGTGTGTTATTCGTCAGTCCAGAGTTTGCTGCTGCAAGTGTTGTGTGTGGTGTGCCGAACCGACCTCGGTTCACAAGAAAAACCCACCCGCCCGCCCCGAGAGGGGCCCCCAGTGGCCGTCTAGGGGCGGAGGTATGTGGGCAGTGTCGTTTGTGATGGGACCATGCCCAGGTCCTCACGCCATTGCTGAGTTATTTTAGTGATTTGGACGATTCTGTCTTAACGTGGCCATGCAGGTGGTCCTTGGATACCTCGCGTTGTTTGTCTTGGGTGTTGGGGCGCAGCTTAGCGACGACATGTCGCGAGAGCAGCTGAAGCCTTTGACGGCGTTCCGGCAGCAACATCGTCGCTTGGTTCGTCTTTGATCGAAGGGACTGACTGTTGCGTCTGAGAACTTACCCTATGCGTGGGTTGTGGCAGGTCGATGGTCGGCTGTGTGCCGCAGCATTTGTGCAGGACATCTGGCCACAAAGGGCGGCGATGGATCATGGTGTTTGTGTCTTGATAATTGATAACTCATCAATGTTTCGATGAGTCATCAGTGTGTATGAGTATCGTCTGCGCTGGGCCTACACATGTCCGGGTGCATGTCGAAGACGGCCCGCTTGTGGGAGTGGGCATGCAAGCAGCTGTTCAGGATAAGCACGTGTACACTGGCTGCACCACCGTGCTGGGCTTAGTGCCTGTGGAGAGTGCCTTTTTTTTTGTGCGGTTTGCGTGAAGGCACAGTGCAGACCCGTCTCTGCGCAACCAGGCTCCGAGCCCAAGTGGGTCAAGTGGCAGGCCCTGGTGCTATGTTGAGCCGCAGGCGAGTGCTCTGCCCAGATAAGACAGAACGTGGCCGGGTTTGCTTAATGGGCTCGTCTGCAGGTGGTGGAAGGCGGTGTGGACTCTTGGGGCTATTGCGGTGCGACAGACTGTGGAGTGTGGCCCATCTTATGATGAGTTTCTGCGTTGCTCACTGCTCTCCAGCGCCAGGATGGCTTCCCTAGAATTGTGTTGTGGCGGCAGGCTGCAGCCAGCTGAGTCAAAAATGCTGGTTGTTTTGCCAGTCGTGGATTATGATGCGAAGCGCTCCTTGGCAGCCGCCAACGTGGCGGCAGAGGTCCAGACCGTGCGTTCGCTGGTGAGCAAATTCGGTAAAGCGCAGCGTGCTGCGGAAGAGACCGTGGAAATGTGCGACAGTGCAGTTGAAGCGTGCAGTTGAAGTGCTTCTTTGCAGTGTGGGCTGGACGAATGCAGGTACCATCGCCGCTGTGCGACGAAGTAGAGCACCGCCGCTGGAGTTCCTGGCCTGGTCATGCTGTGTCGAGTAGTAAGGGTGTGGGCCAATGCCCGTCGAACCGAAGTGCGATGCTGTTTCGCAAACGGAGTAGCGTGCTGTGACGTGCTTGCTTGCTTCTTCTTGCAGTGCGCTCAGTTGTGCAGGCTTGTGCGTGTGCAGACGTGAATACATCTGCATGTTGAGGAGGCCTTATTGCACATGGCCAGGTGTTGAATGCAAACCATGTACCTGGCTGTTCGTTTCGCGTTTAGGTCTGCGTTTGGGGCATCTCACGTTTACGTGCAGTACAATCACTTTATTTAGGCTACGCGTCAACTCTTGGTGTACGTTTGCTTTCGCAGGTTTGCCTGAGTTCGGAGCCAGTGTCAGCAACACAAGCTCACAGCTGCTTGCTGCTTGAAATTCCCGCCCGCCCGCCCCAGTTGGGGTAGGGCAGGGAGCATGCCGCGGGCGTGCCGTTGCGACATCTTGCTGCCCATGTGCAGCCATTGGGGGTGCCAGATTTGCAAGCAGGTGGGTCGTCTACCTGCCTGCAGGACCATTGAGCGAAACTTTGCTGCCAAAAGGTGTCTGTCCGCATTCTGACCGCGTTAGGCTAAAGTGATGCGTCGCGGGCAGCATGTTCATGTTGACGGTTGTTCTTGCTTGGTAGGCCGGTAGGCCTGCGCGCCCCGTGCATGCCCCCACTTCCCAACCCACGACCCCCGCGTCTTGCAGTGCTGCCGCAAAAGCCTTGTTCTTGGCTGAGGGTGTGGGCGCCGCGCGGGGTATTGCAGGTTTCTCCTGCAAAAGCCCGCCCGGGGCTGCCGTGTGCCCGACTCCACTTGCAGGTTTGTGTTGCCTTCCCCCTGTAGCCCAGGCAGCTGCCTGTGGCCCAGGGTGCCTGTGCGCGATCCATTGAAAACTGTGTCCTGTAGATTCCTGTACTGTAAGCGAATGTGCCTCGGTTGGAAGTGTTGACTTGCTGCTAATGCCTGAGTGCTGCATTCCACGTTAGTCAGCCAACAGTTGAGGGCCCTTTCTTTCAAATTTTGCCCAGCCTTCCCGCAATGGGGGTTGTGGAGTTTTTCTTGGCTGCATTTTGAACGGAGAATCATGTGCATTGCATGGCAGCGGTGGTCGGTGGGGCGGATTTGATCTGCGGGCACGCGGATCGTGCGGAGCGGAGCGATTGCACTTTAAGTGTCTCGGTGTTATGTAGAATGTAGGAACTCGTTGTAGCTCGCGGAGCGAAGCGACGCATGAACGGTTTGTATTGTTACTCTTGCTCCTGTTAAGTTTGCTGCTCGAGGCAGGGATTCTTAGCTTGGCAGCAAACAGCTTTCTGTAGGCTAGCTTGTAGTTGAGCCCACCGCCGCCCCTTTCGCCGCTTGGGTAGGCTGGTCGGATTGGGCTGCAACCCGCAGCAAAAGTGCATGCTTGCCGGCTGTAAGGGGGTTTCACGGCGTTTGAAAGGGTAGGTACGTGGGCGGGCCATCTGTGACAGTGTAACTTGAGAGACGTCTTGGTGCGATGTCGGCACGTTTGTGATTTCCCCACCCGGCCGGAGGGAACGGGGAGAACCGGAGGGGCGAACAGAGGGATCCGATAGAGTCTTTGTTTGAGTAGGTTGTGTTGTGCCTCTGTGTGTGTCTGTGCATGCCGTTGCTCCTGTCTGGCGTGTGAGGATGCGTGTTGGGCACCCCCGCACATACCGTTGCGTGGCACAGTCACACTCACCCAGCTT